GCACATGTTTGGAAAAGTCACAAGGCTACTGTACTACGCGATGCTGGTCTATGCCGTTTTCATATTACAAATGAGTAGAATGATATCGGTATGATAATAAAATTTAAGAACACGAACTGACGATGTCCATTTTTTCCTTTACTCACTTAAATTTATAATTCACTTAAAATACGAGAACATATAGTTGTTTTGTAAAAAACACGTGTAAAAGGTAAGAAATGCATGAAAATCATCCGGTATGACTAATTTTAAAACCTGTCAAACAAACCCAGAAAATCCGGACTCTTGAAAACTCGAAGTCTTGATCTCTCTAAGTTTTTCCCCGGTCCCGTAGACTTCGAGGTTTTGAGAGTTACCTGTAAATGAAACAAGGTGTATTTGTGGCAAACATAGGAAAGATTAAACTTTTCTTTAATGCAAATTTAATTAATTGGTAACAAAAGTAGGGTATTCTCACTGGAAAACTATTGTGAAATTTGATAATAAGCCAATGTTAAAGTTTTTTCATTAAGTACTGTACAAAAATCTCCCAGGTCAAGGTCAAAAGGTCAATGTAATTGGTATCAAATGAAGTCTCTTGCAACATTTAATACTTATGGAGAGTATGAAAGGCCTAGCCCTTACCGTTCAGAAGTTATGGTCATGGTTAATTTTTTTAGCTCACCTCAATGAAGTTGAGATGAGCTTATGCTATACCCCCAACATTGGCGTTAGCGTCGGCGTCCCAGGTTAAAGTTTTAGGAGCAAGTCCATTCCTAAGTAGCTATTAGCCTTAACTGAACCAAACTTGCATGGATGATGCATCTAGGGATGAACACTACCAGACTTGCTTTGGATGTTGGATCATTTTTCAGCTGAGTGACCAGGTTAAAGTTTTTGGAGCTCGTCCATTGCCAAGGAACTATAAGCCCTACCCTGACCTAACTTGCATGGATGATGCATCTGTGAATGGACACTACCAGACTTGCTTCGGATGATGGATCTGACCTATATTTCCCAGATGAGTGACCAGGATAAAGTTTTTGGAGCAGGTCCATTCCCAAGGAACTATAATCTCTACCCAGACAAAACTTGCATGGATGATGCATCTAGGGATGGACACTACCAGACATGCTTCAGATGCTGGATCTGACCTACATTTTCATTCCAAAGTGACTATTAGTCGTACCCAAACCAAACTTGCATGGATGATGCATCTAAGGTTGGACACTACCAGACTTACTTCAGATGCTGGATCTGACCTACATTTTCATTCCCAAGTAACTATAAGACCTACCTGAACCAAACTTGCATGGATGATGCATCTAGGGATGGACACTACCAGACTTGCTTTGGATGCTGGATCTGACCTACATTTTTATTCCTAAGTAACTATAAGACCTACCTGAACTAAACTTGCATGGATGATGCATTTAGGGATGAACACTACAAGACTTGCTTCGGATGCTGGATCTGACCTACATTTTCATTCTCAAGTAACTATAATCCCTACCTGAACCAAACTTGCATGGATGATGCATTTAGGGATGGAAAATATATCGGACTTACTTCAGATGCTGAATCTGACCTATATTTTACATACAAGAGACCAGGTTAAAGTTTTGGGAACAGATTAATCCCAATGAACTTGAAGTCCTTAATATCTGCAGTATTAACAAATTTGTGAATATTTGTTTACACTTAAAATACATGTTTTTCACGCTATATGCATAGAAATGTGTATATGCCTTGTAAGGGGTTAATTGTTGGGATAAATACTAGATATTAAGAAAATATGATGTGAGATTTGCATTACTTACAATGACAACATTCGTCGAGGTGAGCTTTGTAATCTTTGATTACCTATGTTTTTAAAAGTAGGTCAAAACTCCAAGGTTAAGGTCACAGGGTCAAAGTTGTTGTTATCAAATGAAAGGTCTTGTCACAAGAGTAAAATATGTAAAGTATGAAAGCAATAGCCCTAACTATTTAAAAGTTATGGTCAATGTTTGCATTTTTTAAGAAGGCCAGTGTCAAAGGTCAAGGTCAAAGTGTCAAAATTCTTGGTATCCAATAAAGGGTCTTCTCCCAAGGATTACGCATATGAAGTATGAAAGCCGTATTCCTTACCATTCAAAAGTTATGGCCGAGGTTAAAGTTTTTTCACAAGTAAGGAAATCTACAAGGTCAAGGTCAAGGTCAAAGGGTTAAGGTTGTTGGTATCCAATGAAAGGTCATTCAACAAAGATTACATATGTGAAGGTTAAATGTCCTGGTATCCACTGTTCAAAAGATATGTCCAAAGTAAAAGTTTAAAATTTTCATGAAAAAGTGGGTCAAACTCCAATATCAAGGTCATAAGGTCAAATTTGGTGGTACTCAAGGAAAGGTCTTGTCACAAGGAATACACCTGTGAAATATGAAAATCATAGCTCCACTAAATCAAAAGTTATGGGCAAGGTTAAAGTTTTTGCAGACAAACAGAAAGACAGACAGACGGACACGACAAAAAACAAGATGTGTTTGTAAAACACTGATGCCCCCGTATGGCAACATAGCAAAGATAAAGCTTTTATTAAATGCAAATTTAACTAGTGCTAATTGTAACGGGGACCGTTACAGATGTTCCCCAAACGCTCCCCAACTCCCTTTTGGTGCCATATTCCCTAGAGGCTTCATTAAATAGGACAAACTCGATGCATTTAAGACTTGAGCAACGTTTACCCAGAACTGTACCAAGTTCATTCAAATTTAAGCATTGCACGCTTGCGCATGTGAATGCATGTGCGTAATGACCATATCATCTTGTCTACACAATCTATATATTTTGATATACTAAATATTAGAGTATTTAATCCAAAAGTATTAAAATATACGCTCATTCACGTGTATTTTTTATTTTACTCTTTTCACGTGCACGCACGTGCATACATGATCATGGTGACTATACCTTCTTGTAGAAGTCCATTACATCTATCTATGTTCTAAATCCCACCCCGTTTGGTTGTAAACCAAGGGAGTTATAGCTGTTTAAAGTTTAAGCCAATTAGATTGCAGCGCATGTACACGCACGTGCATGCATGTGCATGGTGACCATACCTTCTTGTAGAAGTCCATTATATCTATCTATGTTCCAAATCCCACCCCGTTTGGTTGTAAACCAAGGGAGTTATAGCTATTTAAAGTTTCAGCCAATCAGATTGCAGCGCACGTGCATGCACGTGTTTTTATGATAATTGCTATATATTATGTTGTAGGATATCCTTATGCATGGCTATGTTCAAAATTTCAAAGGATTTTATCAAAAAGCAAGAAAGATATTGAGACTTTAGTTTCCGCCAATCAGAGCAAAGCGCACGTGCATGCGCGTGAGATCTTGCTAATTTGATCATGTGATATTATCTATGCTACTAATATATCCTTATATTATGAGTTTTAAAGCATTTCATCAAAAATGTAAGAAGTTACGCCTATATCAATTAAATCGGTCATTTCACGTGTTGCACGTGCACGCTCTTGCAAGCACGTGCGCGCAAAATGACCTTCGTTCCGCAAATCTACATAACATGTCTACTGACCCTAAAAACATTTCACCTAAATCGGATGTGTAGTTTACAAGATCATTCGCGGACAAAATTTTCCCGAGAAGAAAAATAATAATAATAAGAAACAGAGTAAAAACAATATGTTCCCCAACTTCGTTTGGGGAACATAATTAATTGGTACCAAAGGGTACTCTCACTGGAAAACAATTATGAAATTTGAAAGTAAGCCAATGTTAAAGGTTTTTTTATTAGTACAAAAATCTACAAGGTCAAGGTCAAAAGGTCAATGTAATTAGTATCTAATGAAAGATCTTGCCACATAAAATACTTATGCAGAGCATGAAAGCCCTAATCGTTCAGAAATTATGGTTACCGTTCAATATCTTAAAAAGTAGGTCAAACTCCAGGGTCAAGGTCAAAGGGTCAAAGTCATTGTTATCAAATGAAAGGTCTTGTCACAAGGATCTACATATGTGAAGTATAAAAGCCCTATCTCTTACTGTTCAAAAGTTATGGCCAATGTTAAAGTTTTTCACAAGTACAAAAATCTACAAGGTCAAGGTCAAAGGGTCAAGGTTGTTGGTATCCAGTGAAAGGTCTTTTAACAAACATTACATATGTGAAGTATAAATGTCCCGGTGTCTACTGTTCAAAAGATATGGCCAAAGTAAAATTTTAAAATTTTTCTTAAAAGTAGGTCAAACTCCAAGGTCAAAGTCAAAGGGTCAAAGTTATTCTTATCAAATGAAAAGTCTTGTCATAAGAATCAAATATGTAAAGTATGAAAGCAATAGCCCTTACTCTTTTAAAGTAATGGTCAAGGTTTGCATTTTTAAAGTAGGTCAAGCTCAAAGGTCAAGGTCAAAGGGTCAAGGATCTTCATATCCAATGAAGGGTCTTCTCACAAGGATTACATATATGAAGTATGAAAGCCCTATCCCTTACCATTTAAAAGTTATGGTCAAGGTCAAAGTTTTTTCACAAGTATAGAAATCTACAAGATCAAGGTCAGAGCGTCAAGGTTGTTGGTATCCAGTGAAAGGTCTTTAACAAACATTACATATATGAAGTATAAATGTCCTGGTGTCTGCTGTTCAAAAGATATGGCCAAAGTAAAATTTAAAAATTTCATGTAAAAGTGAGTTAAACTCCAAGCTCAAGGTTAAAAGGTCAAATTTGGTGGTATCCAAAGAAAGGTCTTGTCACAAGAAATACACGTATGAAATATGAAAGTCATAGCTCCACTTAATCAAAAGTTATGGGCAAGGTTAAAGTTTTTTGCGGACAAACAGACAAACAGAGAGACAGACAGACAGACGCGACAAAAACTATATACCCCGAAATTTCGTTTACGGGGGCATAAAAACATAACCCCCGAAACGGGCATAATTAAAAGTGTGTCTTTTGTGTACGAGTTGGTTTGTGTACGACTCGGTTTGTGTACGAGTTGACTTGACATCATCATAATGGCGGCGAGTGATCAGACTGATATCGACAAACGCATTTTTAAGGAAGGTATTCGTCTCTTAGAGGACAAAAATGTACGGTTTGCTATTATTAAAATGATTTCATGCAATGGTGCGGAAAGTATCTCATTTACAGAGGCAAAGTGCGGGTTTGAAGTTTTATTGGACAATGACAAAGAACCGTCGTTTGTCCCATTTTCAGTGATGTTTGGAAAAGGTGTTTCTTTCCTGAAAGAAATGGAAAATGCCAATAGCGAGGAAATAGAGAAACTACAAGGTCCAATGAAAGAGGCTATATTGTGTCTTGACAAGTTTTACAAATCGAAAGGTGAGATATACAAATATTTTATTGGCAGCAACACAACCAGATTGGGCACACTGCCCCAAATGGTCATTTAACCCCCGTTCAACGCGGACTTTTTTGCGTAGTGTCGTTCAAATATTTGACAAAATCGTCACCTTTGTTAACAAGTGTAACGTTTCTGTGTTTTAACAGGTCTGGTACAATCACTTGATTTAGCTACGTAGCTTGATTTACCTACATAGCTTTATTTACCTACCTGAGGTAGCTTTATTTAGCTACCAAATTGATCTATTTCTATTTAAAAGCATTTTTCTCAGGGTGTTCAGAAAAAATCATTTTGATGCAGTGATCATTTTCAACTTTGAATTCATCTGAAAACAACAGGTCCAGCACAATACCCCGATAAAGGTATATAGCTTGATAAAGCTATATAGCTTTATTAAGGTGTTTAAAATACCTTGATCAAGGTATTTTATGGAATGAAAATTCAAAAAAATCTTTAAAAATTAAATACTGAAAGTCGAGTTATGAGTTTTTGTCAGTGTGTCCACTCGTGCATGAAAAACACTCTGGTATCAAAAAGATTGATTGATTACTGTTTAACGTCCCTCTCCAGAATATTTCACTGATATGGAGACGTCACCATTGCCGGTGAAGGGCTGCAAATTTGGGCCTATGCTCGGCACTCAGGGCCATTGAGCAGGGAGGGATCTTTATCGTGCCACACCTGCTGTGACACGGGGCCTCGGTTTATACAGTCTCATCCGAAGGACCGCCTCATTTAGTCACCTTTTACGACAAGCAAGGGGGTACTGAGGAACTATTCTATTCTGGATCCCCACGGGGTGGTATCAAAAAGAAAGCATAAAATAACGTCTCCTCACATGACATGTTTTTATACTGATTTGTTTATGTTTGAGCACTTTACATGCATAGGTGAATTTACTGAAAACAACTCAGAACTCGACTTTCAGCAATTAATTTTTTAAGAATTTTTTTGAATTTTCATTACATAAAATACCTTGATCAAGGGTAGACCCCTTTATCGGGGTATTGTGCTGGACCTGAACAACTCATGAAAAATCCCTCTTGGAAAAATGTCTTTTTCTGCGCAATTGCAATCGTGCGTAGTTGCACCTATCAATCTTGTTTATCACTTCATAATTCCGCCATCTGCGGTGATGTGGAAAACTGTTGGTCATGCCGGCGAAACCGGCTTTAAATTTTGCATGACCAGTAAAAATGCTATCAGTGTCAGTCTGACTCCAAATGAATGACCCTTTTTTGGTTAAAAGTTTTTTAGCTCACCTGAGCCGAAGGCTCAAGTGAGCTTTTCTGATCACATTTTGTCCGGCATCCGTCTGTCCGTCTGTCTGTAAACTTTTCACATTTTCGACTTCTTCTCAAGAACCGCTGGGCCAATTTCAACCAAACTTGGTACAAAGTATCATTGGGTGAAGGGGATTCAAGTTTGTTCAAATGAAAGGCCACGCCCTCATTCAAGGGGAGATAATTGGAAATTAATGAAAATTTGGTAGCATATTTTAAAAATCTTCTTCTCAAGAATCACTGGGCCAGGAAAGATGAAACTTATAGGGAAACATCCTCAGGTAGTGTAGATTCAAGTTTGTTAAAATCACGACCCCCGGGGGTAGGGCGGGGCCAAAATGGCCGACCAAAGTTTTACATAGAAATATATAGAAAAATTCTTTAAAAATCTTCTTCTCAAGAATGACAAAGCCATAATTCATCATATTTACATGGAAGCATGTTCAGGTTGTGTAGATTCAAGTCTGTTCAAATCATGACCCCCGGGGGTAGGGCAGGGCCAAAATGGCTGTCCAAAATTTTACATAGAAATATATAGAAAAATTCTTTAAAAATCTTCTTCTCAAGAATGACAAAGCCATAATTCATCATATTTACAGTGGACCTTCAGATATCCAGACGCCAGATATCCGGATGCTTCAGTATCCGGACGATTTTTCATCGGAACGAAATTTTAAAATGTTATTCTGTCTTGTTTAACTGGTGATTCAGATATCCGGATGCTTCACATATCTGGACAAATTGACTGGGAACCAAAGCGTCCGGATAAATGAGGGTCCACTGTATATGGAAGTATGCTCAGGTAGTGTAGATTCAAATTTGTTCAAATCATGACACCCAGGGGTAGGGCGGGGCCAAAATGGCCGACCAAACTTTTACATAGAAATATATAGGAAAATCTTTAAAAATCTTCTTCTCAAGAATGACAAAGCCATAATTCATCATATTTATATGGAAACATCCTCAGGTAGTGTAGATTCAAGTTTGTTCAAATCATGACCCCCGGGGGTAGGGCGGGGCCAAAATGGCCGACCAAAGTTTTACATAGAAATATATAGGAAAATTCTTTTAAAATCTTCTTCTCAAGAAAAGCTAAGCCATAATTGATCATATTTATATGGAAGCATCCTCAGGTAGTGTAGATTCAAGTTTGTTCAAATCAAGACCCCCAGGGGTAGGGCGGGGCCAAAATGGCCGACCAAAAATATACATAGAAATATATAGGAAAATTCTTTTAAAAATCTTCTCAAGAATAGCCTAGCCATGATTTTTCATATTTACATGGAAGCATGTTCAGGTAGTGTAGATTTAAGTTTGTTCAAATCATGACCCCAGGGGGTAGGGCGGGGCCAAAATGTCCGACCAAAGTTTTACATAGAAATATATAGGAAAATTCTTTAAAAATCTTCTTCTCAAGAATAGCCCAGCCATAATTGATCATATTTATGTGAAAGCATTATCAGGAAGTGTAGATTCAAGTTTGTTAAAACAATGACTCCCGGGGGTAGGGCGGGGCCACAATGGCCGACCAAATTTTTACATAGAAATATATAGGAAATTTCTTTAAAAATCTTTTTCTCAAGAAAAGCCCAGCCATAATTGATCATATTTATGTGGAAGCATCCTCAGGTAGTGTAGATTCAAGTTTGTTCAAATCATGATCCCCGGGGATAGGGCAGGGCCAAAATGGCCGACCAAAGTTTTACATAGAAATATATAGGAAAATTCTTTAAAAATCTTCTTCTCATGAACAGCCAAACCACAATTGATCATATTTATATTGAAGTATTATCAGGTAATGTAGATTCAAGTTTGTTTAAACAATGACCCCCTGGGGTAGGGCGGGGCCAAAATGGCCGACCAAAGTTTTACATAGAAATATATAGGAAAATTCTTCAAAAATCTTCTTCTCAAGAATAGCCAAGCCATGATTGATCATATTTATAGGGAAGCATCCTCAGGTAATGTAAATTCAAGTTTGTTCAAATCATGACCCCGGGGGTAGGGCGGGGCCACAATGGCCGACCAATGGTGCTCAGGTGAGCGATGTGGCCCATGGGCCTCTTGTTTAACAATTTTAATAAATAAACTCAAATGTCATCAGAAAACAAACCTTTACATATCTTTTATCCATATTTACAACTTTTCATTCCCGGATTCAAACAACAACAGCTGCAAAAATACCATATAATAAGTAAACAACTTACATTTTAAACACTGGGCCTGGCAAGCTTGCATCATCATGTCAACAGCCATTATCCACAAGTTGTATTTGGTAAGATTGGGACCATTTTCTCGTAGTTTACGATTAAATTTGTAAAATGATCTTAAAATTTATTTTAAAGTTTAATTTTGTTTACCAATAAAAGTTACGAAAATGCTGTAAATTACACCATTTAAGTAAAATTTGTTATAAAGTAATAAAAATTTAATTATTTATTATCCTGCAAGGAGAATAATGTCTATTTTTAAGTAAATCCATCACGTGACGCCGTCGCTACTTTTAGATTGATAAACAAACACAGCGTCGAGAAAACGAAGTAAGCCCTTTGAGATACATCTCACTTTTGACATGGATGGCGTGTTACTATTAATATAAATTATCTTTAAATGTAATCAGTATCAACCATCTATACTCTTTTATGACGCATATTAACCTTCTATTAAGAATCGTTGTCAAAATGCAAGTTGCTTCGTTGTCTGTAATTTCCCGTGGACATACATGTCTATATTTAGACCTACTGTTTACGCACTTCCTTAATCAATATTCATGAAAAGATTGAATTCTTGATTGCAGATATTGCTTTATTGTTCTGTTATAACGAGTTTTACAGTTAAATTTTGTGGAAATATTATTTTTTCATTACACTTTATGTGTTTCAAATCATATAATCATTTCATGTTTCACATAGAAATCGGCATCCATACGGCTTATATTACTTTAATTCAAAGTAAAAGTTAAATTATCAATAAAAGCAATTTGAATTAATTCCTTTAACGTGTGTAATTTTTTAACGATTTTTTGGAATTTTTTTTTGCAAAGAATGACTACTCCCTTTGAAAACTGGTTCCCAGGTCCATAATCTAGTCGCTAATGGACAAATTTACAATGTTTAATCTCTGTAGACTTTAAAATTTGTTGCCATGTGTATACACTGGTTGACCTCAAGGGTTCAGATAAACGGAGGAAGGTTGGAAAAAAATGATCTATAAAACTATAATTAGGATAACTTGGAAAACATTTTTATCATTGTTGTATATAATTCTACCTTTTCAGAGAAAAAAAATTAAAAGAGATTTAAAACCAATTTCAAAATAATAATCGAATAAAACTTTGTTCACACATTGTTCATCGAGTTGCGTTCAGCATTCGCACATCGTTCACTCAGTCTGTTCACTCTGTATTCATTTACCATTCATTCAGCATTCGTTCCCTGTTCAGGTGGGAAAGAAGAACGTTTCAGGGACTGTATGGTGACAGTTAACAACACAATGCAAATCTGACCATTAAAACCAAAGGGTCACTTGCTAAAATTCGGCATTGATTCTGTATCAAAATAACCTACAATCCCCTCCTGCAGGGGACTAATAAATTTTATGATGAACTGTTAGTTGTGTACTAAAATCAAAACCTTTTTTTCAATTTATTTTGTAGGAAAAAATGAAACTTCATTGAAAACAGTCTTTGATATGAGGCATGATGGGAAATCCACAATCACCGAGACAGATATAACTATTTCGCTGGCTGAGCATCTTCTAGCTAAGCTAGCACCCGGGGAATCATATGTACTTGACAGCAAAGCAAAAGGAAAACAGAGCTGCAAGTGTGGATGCAAAAAAGAGCCTACATTTTCTTATACAGGAATAGGTATGATGAATGCAAATTTGAATTTGATGAGTTGTATTATTAATGTGGTTACACGTAAACCAATCTTAATAAGAATCAACTCATTGAAATAATTTCTATGATTATCTCCTAACTAGGAGAATTGGCAGGATTGATTTGTTAGCTCACTTGAGCTGAAAGCTCAAGTGAGCTTTTCTGATCATACATATTGTCTGTCTGTTCATCTACCTGTCCATCCTGCACATATCTGTAAACTCTTAGCTTTTTTTAACTTTTTCTGAGGAAACTACTGGGCCAATTTTGAACAAACTTGGTACAAAGCACTCTTGGAAGAAGGGGAATTTAGATTGTCAAAATCAAGGCCCCTTCCAAGGGCAGATAATCAATAAAAGATAGAAATGGGGAGGGGTCATTAAATTTTTAGCTCTTCTGAGCCAAAGGCTCAAAGAGCTAATGCTATGGCCATTTGTGCGGTGTGCGTCTTGCGGTGTGCGTTAACTTTTTAGCTCACCTGAGCCGAAGGCTCAAGTGAGCTTTTCTGATCAAAATTTGTCCGTCGTCTGTCGTTGTCGTTGTTGTTGTTGTCGTCGTTGTATTGTCGCAAACTTTTCACATTTTCATCTTCTTCTCAAGAACCACTGGGCCGATTTTAACCACACTTGGCACATGTATCCTTTTGTGAAGGGGACTCAAGTTTGTTCAAATGAAGTGCGACGTCCTTTTCCAAGGGGAGATAATAATAAATTTGTTAAAAATTAATGGCATTTTTAAAAAATCTTCTTCTCCAGAACCGATGGGCCAGGAAAGATGAAACTCATGTGGAATCATCCTCAAGTAGTGTAGATTCAAGTTTGTTCAAATCAGGACCCCCGGGGCAAGGGTTTTGGGCCAAAATGGCTGACCCAAGTTTTACATAGGAATATATTGGAAAAATCTTTAAAAATCTTCTTCTCCAGAACCATTGGGCCAGGAAAGATTGAAACTCATGTGGAATCATCCTCAGGTAGTGCAGATTCAAGTTTGATGAAATCATGACCCCCGGGGCAAGGGTGGGGCCAAAATGGCCGACCATAGTTTTACATAGGAATATATAGGAAAAATTTTTTAAAATCTTCTTCTCAAGAACCACTGGGCCAGGAAAGATGAAACTCATGTGGAATCATCCTCAGGTAGTGTAGATTTAAATTTGTTCAAATCATGACCTCCGGGGCAAGGGTGGGGCCAAAATGGCTGACCCAAGTTTTACATAGGAATATACTGTATACAGGGTTATTTTCGCCCCGTGTTATTTTCGCCCTGTTGCACTTGCGAACAATTTTGCCCCGTTTTAAATTCGCCCATTCATAGTTCCGTTAAAGAAATTATGCTTTCTTCTTTGACTTCACCCTGTTTAAAATTCGCCCAATCATGAAGAGGGCGAAAGGGGTGAAAATAAAACGGGGGCGAAAATTTCCCTGTATACAGTATAGGAAAAATCTTTTCAAAATCTTCTTCTCCAGAACCACTAGGCCAGGAAAGATGAAACTCATGTGAAATAATCCTCAGGTAGTGTAGATTCAAGTTTGTTGAAATCATGACCCCCAGGGCAAGGGTGGGGCCAAAATGGCTGACCAAAGTTTTACATAGGGATATATAGGGAAACTTTTTAAAATCTTCTTTTTAAGTACTTCAAAGCTATGATTAGTGATATTTATATGGAATCATCCTCAGGTAGTGTAGATTCTAGTTTGTTCAAATGATGAACGCCTGGAGGGGGGGGGAATAAATTCAAGCCTGATGTGCTCAGGTGAGCGCTGTGGCCCCTGGGCCTCTTGTTAGAAAATGGGCCATAACTCAAGAACCCCTTGGCAATTCTGTGTCAAATTTGTCACAGGGTATCCTTAAAATTGGCCCAAGGGCTACCATTTATACTAAAATAAGGGTTGTGACCCTAAAACAAGGGGAGGCAGATTTTCACCAAACTTACATACAATGATCAAGATATGTTGAAGATTAAAAATTGTTCAAGGCATGACCCTGGGGCAAAGGGCGTGGCTCAAGGTCAATTCAAAGTTGACCTAAATTTACAATTAATGAAAATGACTATATTTTGCTTACTATAAGGACTAAGATCATCAAATCTTGTAGATGCATCTTAGGACTTCACATAATGTTAACTCAAAAGTAGGTCACAGTGACCTACTTTTTTTAATTTTGCCGGCATTTTTTTTTTCAAATTGATTTGAAGGCATATTTAGGACTTTTTAAGGCCTATGATCATCAAACTTAGTCAGTTGATGCATCTTGGGTCTTTGAAAAATGTCAACTTAAAAGTAGGTCACTGTGACCTACTTTTTGAACTTTATGACTTATCCTTTTTGAAACATTTCATCCCATTATTTCAGACACTGAGAGGGTTAGAATCATCAAATCTTGTAAGTTGCTGCATCTTGGGACCTTAAAACATATTTAAGTAAAAGTAGGTCACTATGACCTACTTTTAGAATTTTGCAGGCATTTGTTTTCAAATTGTTTAAAATGCATATTTTGATAACCTTCAGACCAATGATCATCAAACTTGATCAGCTGATTCATCTTGGGACTCTGAAAAATGTCGACCAAAATGTAGGTCACTGTGACCTATTTTGACATTTCATGGCTATATTTCAGTATCTTAGGTATTTATTGGCTTAGAATCATCAAACTTTGTGCATTGAGGCATCTTGGGTTTTCGGAGAGTGACGACCAAAAAGTAGGTCATGGTGACCTACTTTCAGTATTTTATGTCTATATTTATGTATCTCCAGTACTTATTGGCTTTGAATCATCAAACTTTGTCAGTTGATGCATCTTGTGTTTTCGGAGAATGTCGACTGAAAAGTATGTCACGGTGACCTACTTTTGACATTTAATGGCTATATTTATGTATTTCTGGTACTTATTGGCTAAGAATCATCAAACGTTGTTAGTTTATGCCTCTTGGGTTTTCAGAGAATGTCGACCAAAAAGTAGGTCACAGTGACCTACTTTTGAATATCTCAGGTATTTATTGCCTTAGAATTATCAAACTTGGTCAGCAAATGCATCTTAGGCTTCTGATAAATGTCAACCAAAATGTAGATCTCAATGACCTATTTTTGACATTTAATGGCTACATTTAAGTATCTCCTGACCAGTACTTATTGGCTTAGAATCATCAAACTTTGTCAGTGTATGCATCTTGGGTTTTCAAAGAATGTTGACCAAAAAGTAGGTCATGATGACATTTATGGCTATATATAAGTCAGGGTTCGACACTGAGGGTAGCCCGCTGGCCCGGGACAACTGAATTTTGAGGTAGGGCTACTTAACATGCCTTTAAACTTGCCCTGCAGGACTACTAAGAATTTTATCAAATTTTCACTTAGAGCAACAGAAACAATTATCAATTGCACACAACATATCAAACAATTAATAAAATAATCTATTTTCAAACATGTTTTATCATAATAATTATTATTTTTGTAAGTCAAAGGTGATTTGAAATACTCTAAATGATTATAAATGTTGACTTTTTTGAACAGAAAAATATCTTAGGTACAATCATGAAAATACATATAATTTTTACCCAAAATACAGCCAGAATGCAGGATTTGGCATCTCTATTTTCCAGAATTTCCCGGTGGAGGCTCCCCATACCCCCACCAGCAGGAAGGGAAAACCCCCTCCCGTACCTTTACCCCCCTTGTCACTTCGCGACTCTGCCACCAGCCTTCGGCTGCTGGACAACTAATACATGAACAGGGCTAGTAGAAATCAGAAATGGCTAGCCCCCTGCTGACAACTATGGTTTTAAAAGTTAGTGTCGATCCCTGCCAAGTATATATATTTATGATGAAGAAAGTTGCATCTAGCATTATGGTTATTTTTTATGCCAGGTGACCTATTGCTATCCGTTGTTGTCCGCCGTCGTGCGTCGTGGGCTGTGCATTAACATTTAAACATTTTCAGCTTCTTCTCTGAAACCGCTCAACCAATTTCAACCAAATTTGGCACAAAGCACCTATGGGTGAAGGGGAGCAAAAATTGTGAATTTCATGGTCCCTGCCCCCCCCCCCTGGGGCCTGAGGGGTGGGGCCAAAACCACTTAAATTGTAGCAATCTTTAAAAATCTTCTTCTTTACTCCTGGACATTAAGCAGTCAAACTGTTTGCATGATTGTAATCAACATTGAGTCCTCTACCAAAATTGTGAAAATCATGGCCCTAAGGGTTAGGGGTGCTAGTGCTAGGGTGGGGCTAAATATTAATACTGTATAGTGAAAATGCATTACAACTTTGGAGATCTTCTTCTCTCCTCCTGGGCATTAAATAAGCTAACCAAGTACATAATTATGTTGAATAAGATTGCCTTTTCAAATATTGTGAATTTCATGGCCCCAGGGTCAGGGGTTCTGGTGTTAGGGCATGGCTCTAATAGATTATATAGTGAAAATGCATAAATTATTTAAAAATCTTCTCCTCTGTGCTTTGATATATAACCAAAGAACAATGTACATAGTTATAATAAATAATATATAAATTCTTCTCCTATGCTCCTTGGTATAAAACCAATAAACTATGTACATAGTAATGATGAGGAAGGATGGTTCTTCCAAATTTTGTGATTTTTTTTACCATTGGGTTAGGGGTTCTGGTGTTAGGGTGGGGCTCTAATGCTCTATAATGATTATATTGTGAAAACACATAAATTCTTTGGAAAGTTTTCCTTTTCTCCTTGGTATAGTGCCAATGATCTAAGTATATATTTATGATGAAAAAAATTTGCCTTTTCCAAAATGGTTAATTTCAGGGCCCCTATGTTAGAGGTACTGCAGAACAGGGAGGGGGGGGGGGTTATATAGCCTGAAAATAAAGTAATACTTTGAAATCTGCTATTTGATTTTAATCACCCATTTCTGATGACATGAAATTTATAAAATTTCCAAAATTTTGAAATATGTGGCAATGGAAATGCATTTTCTCTCTATTTCTCTGATCTGCCTTTGGGTATTCAATAACAAAAATAAACATGCTAAGTGTATAGTAATGATAAACAATGGTGCATCTTTCAAAATTATGCATTTCAAGCTAGGCTTAATAGCTTATGGTTTAAAATAGTCAAACCAATTTCAGTTGTTGGAAAGTTTTACATGTTACTCAGGTGACCTATAAGGCCCGTGGGCCTCTTGTCTCTTTGATCTAGCTCTGGGTATTAAGTAAACAGAGTAGGCATGCTAAGTATAATTTTGAAAAGCAATGGTGCCTCTTTCAAAATTGTTAATTGTGAATTTCATGGCCTCTAGTTTAAATTTGTTTGAAACTTTTTACACAATACTCAGGTGACCGATAAGGCCCTTAGGCCTATTGTTGTTTCATTTCATCATTTTCAAGACAAACATTTATCAACCTCATGAATTTCTGATGTTGGCCTATGATGAACCGCCATGATTTTCACTATCGAAAATAAGTGCTGTGCGATATTACTGGTTAACCATTGTATCCCGATTTAGTTCTTCACAAAACGTATTGCGGTTATTTTTTTTGTGAATAACGGTCATTCAATATGCTATATATTGTTACAAAAAGAGTTATTTGCCCTTTTCAAGGTAAAATATGGCGGCAAGCGAAGTGAAGTGTGATCAGAAACCAGAGAAGCGAAAAGAGGACAACTGTTAAATGAAAGCCCTTCATGTTAAAGCAGCATCTGAATATTACTACTTAATTCTTAAAGTTGTGCCACAAAAAACTTAGCTTGCCACTTGCATACAAACAACGCAATCAACTGCAAAATAGAATCCGACATCCAAATACACATACATGTTCAAGAAAACCATATATTTCTGTCCAGAAATATTTTTACCATTTACGCAAATACTGTAAAATCACATATTTTCAAGGGGACAAATTTTCTTGGTTTGATAAAAATCTCCTGGTTCGTGGGGATTTGATTTTGTAGATCAAGAATTAATTAGCACTTATGTATTTAACATTTTTAGCTCACCTCAACGAAGTTGGGGGAGCTTATGTAATACCCTCGGCGTCCCTGTTGGCGTCGGCGTCGGTGTTGACGTCTGCGTCCCAGGTAAAGTTTTTTGGAGCAGTTTTATTTGAAAGTACTTCTATGTCTTATATTGATTAGACATGCATGGAAGATGCTTTCAGTGTGTTTCATTGTACCAGTCAAAGTTTCAGATGCTGCAATTTCATCAAAGGAATGACCAGGTTTAGGTTTTTGGAGCAGGTTAACATTTTTGGTGCAGTTTTTGGTGTTGGTGTCATATACAAGGAACTATAAGCCCTATGTTGACCAAACTTGCATGGATGATACATCTCAGGATGCACACTACCAGGTTTGATTCAGATGCTGAATCTGACCTACATTTTCCGGTTGAGTGAACAGGTGAATGTTTTTGGTGCAGGTTTCATTTACATGTAACTATAAGTCCTATGTTGACCAAACTTGCATGGATGTTACATCTAAGGATGCACACTACCAGACTTGCTTCGGATGCTGAATCTGACCTACATTTTCCGGTTGAGTGAACAGGTTAAAGTTTTTGGTGCAGGTCTCATTTCCAAGTAACTATGAGCACTATAATGACCAAACTTGCATGGATGATACATCTAAGGATGCACGCTACCAGGCTTGCTTGGTATGCTGAATCTGACCTACATTTTTCGGTTGAGTGAACAGGTTAAAGTTTTTGGTGCAGGTCTCATTTCCTAGTAACTATGAGCCCTATAATGAGCAAACTTGCATGGACGATGCATCTTAGGATCCGCACTAATGGACTTGCTTCGGATGCTGAATTAGACATACATTTTTCAGATAATGGACCAGGTAAAAATTATGGATGCAGTTCTATTACCAAACAAGATGTGTTTGTAAAACACTGATGCCCCCGTATTGCAACATAGCAAAGATTAAGCTTTTATTTAATGCTAATCTAATTAATTGGTACCAAAAGTAGGGTATTGTTACTGGAAATTGTGAAATTTGAAAGTAAGCTAATGTTTAAGTTTTTAATAAGTACAAAAATCTCCAAGGTCAAGGTCAAAATGTCAATGTAATTAGTATGAAATGAAAGGTCTTGCCACATAAAATACTTATGTAGAGCATGAAAGCCCTAGCCCTAACCGTTCAGAAGTTTTGGCCAAGGTTAAATTTTTTTAAAAGTAGGTGAAACTCCAAGGTCAAGGTCAAAGGGTCAAAGTAATTGTTTTCAAATGTAAGGTCTTGTAATAAGGAACAAATATGTAAAGTATGAAAGGAATTAGCCCTAAGTTTTAAAAGTAATGGTCAAGGTTTGCTTTTTTAAAGTAGGTCAATCTCAAAGGTCAAGGTCAAAGGGTCAAGGATTTTCATATCCAATGAAGGGTCTTTTCACAAGGATTACACATATGAAGAATAAAGGCCTTATCTCTTACCGTTCAAAAGTTATGGCCAAGGTTAAAGTTTTACACAGGTACGAAAATCTACAAGGTCAAGGTCAAAGAGTCAAGGTTGTTGGTTTCCAGTGAAAGGTCTTTTAACAAACATTACATATGTGAAGTATAAAAGTCCTGGTGTCTACTGTTCAAAAGATATGGCCAAAGTAAAATTTAAAAGATTTTCTTAAAAAGTAGGTCAAACTCCAAGGTCAAGGTCAAAGGGTCAAAGTTATTGTTATCAAATGAAAAGTCTTGTCATAAGAATAAAATATGTAAGGTATGAAAGCACTAGCCCTAACTCTATAAAAGTTATGGTCAAGGTTTGCTTTTTTAAAGTAGGTCAAGCTCAAAGGTCAAGGTCAAAGGGTCAAGGATATTCATATCCAATGAAGGGTCTTCTCACAAGGATTACATATATAAAGTATGAAAGCCGTATCCCTTACCGTTCAAAAGTTATGGCCAAGGTTAAAGTTTTTTCACAAGTATTGAAAACTACAAGGTCAAGGTCAAAGGGTCAAGGTTGTTGGTATCCAGTGAAAGGTCTTTTAACAAACATTACATATGTGAAGTATAAATGCCCTGGTATCTACTTTTCGAAAGATATGGCCAAAATAAAATTTTAAAATTTTCATGTAAAAGTGGGTCAAACTCCAAGGTCAAGGTCAAAAGGTCAAATTTGGTGGTACCCAAAGAAAGGTCTTGTCACAAGGAATACACATATGAAATATGAAAGTCATAGCTCCACTTAATCAAAAGTTATGGGCAAGGTTAAAGTTTTTGCGGACAAACGGACAAACAGAGAGACAGACAGACATGACAAAAACTATATACCCCCGAAACTTCGTTTACGGGGGCATAAAAAGTATAAGGCTTATATAACATTGTATAAACCAAACTTGCACAAATGATGCATCAAGGGATGAAAACTCTCAAATTTGCTTCAGATGCTGGATTTTAATTAAATTTTCATGAAAAAGAACTAGTTAGAAGTTTTTATATAGCTCTATTTCAAAGTATCAGATCAAAATTGCATAGATATTTTCATTTTGGGCTGTACACTTTTTTTTGGTGAATTGTGTGACTTTGCCTTACTTAAAGACAACATTCATTGAGGTGAGCTCTGTAATCTCTGATTACCTATGTTTTATTTTGTGGTGGACATGAAATTGTTGGTATCGTCATACATTGAAAACAATGAAAATATCCCCCCCCCTACCCCCCACGAAAATTTGTGATTTCACAGTAACATATTTTCTTGATTTTAAATCTAGCAATCACTTTAGTAAAAATCAAAAAAGATAATTTTGACCTCACAAATGTAATATATAGGTCAATGCGCGATCAATGAACAGGTTTCATATAACTGTAAACACAAAACAGTCAGTGTCTGAGGAAAATTCATGAGTGAATTAAATGACAGTGAATTATTTTAAGCTTGAATTATTCTTTTATAAATAATGCTACATTGAATATTACTCGAAGGAAAGATGATAAGTATTTGTCCTCTCTCCCGTCTTATTATTTAAACTAAACACAAGGAGAAAGTTGTCTCTGAATAATCTGTATGACATCCAGCTAGAAAATACATTAAAAACCTTATTTCAACAAAGTTTATTCAATTTAACTTAGGTTTATTATTCTTATCCAGTTTATTTCAGTTATACGTATTATACGGGTACACATAGAATTTCTCTTCACTTGAAGTATAAAATCACTTACTTGTACATGGACTATAAAGTTTTTGCTCATTTAATAAGTCATGACTCCATCAAAATGAAATTTTACTGAGAACAATAAGATGTTTTAAGAACCCATTTTATATTGATAACCATATCGAAATATTAACCATTTTTGAGTTATAGAGCAAAAGCTTTCAAGGCCCCTAGATCCTTAATTTGAGGGGCCAGCCCCTTTTTAATGATGTCAAATGATAGAACTTAAAATTCAAGCCCCCTCCCCCACCTCGGTAAACTTTCATTTCTGATCTGATGTGTTTTTCCTAGCCAATTGCTCAGGTGAGGGATGTGGTCCCTGGGCCACTGTCTTTGAGTCACTTTTGCCAGTCATGCTGTTCTGCATCACATCCTAGGATAGTGTAGACTCTAAATTGTTTAAATCATGACCCCCAGGTTTAGGGTGGGGCCATAGGAAATTCTCCCAAGTTTTATATTGAAATATATAGAAAAAAAGGCAGGGTCATAATAGGTATTACAAATTGGAAATCTTGTAGAGAATAGCATGGTCAAACTTACTTAGGTGAGCCATGTTGCCCATAGACCTCTTGTTTTTTTTTTTTATTTAAGAGATTCTGAGTTCTTCAGCTAGTTAGCTCATTTATTTTGTATTACAGGTCATGAGCTAGTGTGGCATGGATTTATTGATATTGTCTTCTCATCACATCTGGGTGTACCATCAATAGCCAGTGCTCTGGTGGAGGAAGAAGAAGAAACCACTCCCAAAAAAAGAAAACTTGATGAAGGGGATGGTAATGGTTTTGAATTATTTATGGTTCATAAGCCCTCTTACTCATAGAAAATGTTTCCATAAGAAAAGTATATGCTAAATAAAATACGAACAATTTTATCATGGCTTGTAGGACAAAATTTGACAAAAAAAACGCACTAGAGATTTGTGTCAGTAAGAGTTATCTCTATTATCAGAGTATCAATGTACCTTAAAGAGTTTGATATCCACAATTGCATCTCTAGTTTTTTTGAGGCGCATTGTTTTCTATGCAGCCTCATTGCTATCACCTGGCAATTCTTTCTTATCTGAACTGCGGCGGCAAAGGACTCAACAATATTGATTCTTAACACGTTATTAAAAATAGTGCTTATGTACATTGACAAGTTGGCGATATCCATTGTTAATTTTAAACTGCTAATAACACAAAATCTCACACATACATGTTGTTTTAACTTTGAATCAACAGAGGTTACGAAAAATGAAAAAATAAAAAACAATTAAAACAGAGAGAAAACAACAACAAACGTGCACTGCGCGGAGTAAGATCTATTTGCATAACAACAGCTCATACTATGAATTACTCGGTTTCGTATCGGGTTCATAATAAACCGTATACCAAGCCCAATCATTTATTTTAGTCCCGTATATGTATATAACATTTGTAATATATTGTGCCATTTATATTGGGAAAAAGTTAAAAACAAGGAAGTGATATTTATAAAAGTGCACATAATGAAAGAAACTGAAATAATTCAAATATCAAATTATTTAATATCATTCAATAATCATTACTAGTAATGAATTTCTATATTGACATTCATTATTTCATCTTCCTAATAGTCAAAGAATAAAAATTTTAAAAAGAGAATTAAAATACAATTAAAATCAATTATGATTCAATTTGAATAGCAATGAATTATAACCGATATATCTTTTAAAAAAAATGTTTTTCCTCTCCTGATCGATTGGCTAAAATTCAGAGCCATGGTTCAAATTTTTTAACCTCAAAGAAACGTTAAATATTTTTAAAATTCTTATTCCTGGATTATTTCATTCCCTTAACATTGATGTTGAATTTCTCCAAAAAAAAAGAAGTTTTATACCCTCAATGCAATGCGCCTCTCCGGCCTGCAGGCCTTTGATTTAGCTCTTTGGAGCCAAAGGCTCAAAGAGTTAATGCAATGGCCATTTGTGTGGTGAGCATAAACTTTTTAGAATATGGGCCATAACTCAAGAACTCCTTGGCCAATCAGTGTCAAATTTGTCACAGGGTATCCTTGGCCTTATGGCTACCATTTGTACTGAAATATTAAACAAGATAATCAGGAAAACAAAAACCAAAAGTACTAGTTGCTAAAAATCTTCTCAAGAACAACCAGGCAGATTTTCATCAAAATTACATACAAGGATCAGGATATGTCGAAGATTAAAATTTGCACGGGGAATTACTCTGGGGGAAAGGGCATGGTCTCAAGGTCACTTCAAAGTTGACGTAAATTTACAATTAATAGAAGCGTTTATGTTTTGCTTACTATAAGGACTAGGATCATCAAATCTTGTAAGTTGATGCTTCTTAGGACTTCATATCATGTTAACTTAAAAGTAGGTCACAGTGACCTACTTTTTAAATTTTGTGGGTATTTGTTTTCAAATTGTTTGAACATTTTAAGGCCTATGATCATCAAACTTTGTCAGTTGATGCATCTTGGGTCCTCAAGCAATGTCAGCTTAAAGTACATCATCATAACAACAATTGCATGCGATTGAGTTGGTGCTTATTTGACAGTGTCACATTATCGACACTATCAATATATCCATATATAATGAGTTTCAAAGCATTTTATCAAAATGTAAAAGTTATAGCTATATTAAGTATATAAGTAATATCAAGTGTTAAACGCAAAATGACCTCCTACACCTACAATACACACCTATTAACCGTAAAATGGTTTTAGCTTAGTTTGGTGAATAGCTTCTTAGAACACATGCAGACAAAAAAGTACCGGAGAACAAAGAAGAAAAAATGAATAACTAGAGCAAAGCTCATTGCAAAGCAACCAGTAGGTCTTCTGTCCTGTTTGAACGGAAGTTACTTTCATTTAAAAAAGAGTAATGACGTCCAGAAATGGTTTAAATCCCCTTAATCTATGTTAAGGTCATACGCAACGTAGTTTGAACTTTTTAGCTCACCTGAGCCGAAGGCTCAAGTGAGCTTTTCTGATCACATTTTGTCCGTCGTCCGTCCGTCTGTCTGTCTGTCTGTCTGTCCGTCTGTAAACTTTTCACATTTTCGACTTCTTCTCAAGAACCACTGGGCCAATTTTGACCAAACTTGGTACAAAGCATCCTTGGGTGAAGGGGAATTTAAATAGTTTAAATGAAGGGACATATCCCCTCGCAAGGGGAGATAATCAAGAAAAGACAAAAATAGGGTTGGGTCATTAAAAAATCTTCTTCTCAAGAACCACTGGGCCAGGAAAGATGAAACTCATGTGGAATCATCCTCAGGTAGTGTAGATTCTAAATTGTTCAAATCATGACCCCCGGGGGAAGGGCGGGGCCACAATGGGGAATCAAAGTTTTATATAGAAATATATAGGAAAATTCTTTGAAAATCTTCTACTCAAGAACCACTGGGCCAGAAAAAGTGAAACTTATGTGGAAGCATCCTGGTATAATGTAGATTCTAAATTGTTCAAATAATGACCCCCCAGGGAAGGGCGGGGCCACAATGGGGAATCAAATTTTTACATAGAAATATATAGGAAAATTCTTTGAAAATCTTCTTCTCAAGAACCACTGGGCCAGAAAAAGTGAAACTTATGTGGAAGCATTCTGGGGTATTGTAAATTCTAAATTGTAGCAATCATGACCCCCGGGGGAAGAGCGGGGCCATTATAGAAAATCAAAGTTTTACATAGAAATATATAGGAAAAATCTTTGAAAATCTTCTTCTCAGGAAGCACTGGGCCAGAAAAGCTGAAACTTATGTGGAAGCATCCTGGTATAATGTAGATTCTTAATTGTTCAAATAATGACCCCCAGGGGAAGGGCGGGGCCACAATGGGGAATCAAAGTTTTATGTAGAAATATATAGGAAAATTCTTTGAAAATCTTCTACTCAAGAACCACTGGGCCAGAAAATATGAAGCTTATGTGGAAGCATTCTGGGGTAGTGGTAATTCTAAATTGTAGGAATCATGACCCCCAGGGGAAGAGCGGGGCCATTATAGAAAATCAAAGTTTTACATAGAAATATATAGGAAAAATCTTTGAAAATCTTCTTCTCAGGAACCACTGGGCCAGAAAAGCTAAAACTTATGTGGAAGCATCCTGGTATAATGTAGATTCTTAATTGTTCAAATAATGACCCCCAGGGGAAGGGCGGGCCACAATGGGGAATCAAAGTTTTATATAGAAATATATAGGAAAATTCTTTGAAAATCTTCTACTCAAGAACCACTGGGCCAGAAAATATGAAGCTTATGTGGAAGCATTCTGGAGTAGTGTTAATTCTAAATTGTAGGAATCATGAACCCCGGGGGAAGGGCGGGGCCATATTAGGGAATCAAAGTTTTACATAGAAATATATAGGAAAAATCTTTGAAAATCTTGTTCTCGGGAACCACTGGGCCAAAAAAGCTGAAACATATGTGCCCATGGAAGGATCATGGGGTAGTGTAGATTTCAAAATGTCTAAATTATTATCAGTGGGGTAGGGTTGGTATGCATTATGTATAACAAGGGGGAAATCTGGTAAAGAACAGAATGTTCAAAGCTTCTCAGGTGAGCGATGTGGCCCATGGGCCTCTTGTTTGGGTTGTCCCCTGGAGTTGAAGAGTTCCACTAAATGAAGGACCTGTGTACAGTATTTTTAATGTCTATAAATGGATTTGTACACCTCTTCTAAAACAATTTTTGAAGAAAAAAAATCTGAAATTTATGTTTTATAATTTTTGTACATTTTTATTTGAATAATGCAAAAATTTTCAAAATTTGATATCTTTTCAAAACGTCTGGTGAGGCATGCTGATTTTTTGTCTATGAACAAGTAATTATATTATAAGTTTAACTTTGGAATATCTTGGAAATCTATCAGTAGGTAAGGTACGTTGCGCATGTCCTTAATTAGGGCCCTATTGTGGGAGCCCTATAGTAATCACTCTGTCTGCCCGTCTGTCATTCTTCTGTCCACTAATTTTCTGTTTCTAATTAAGTTCAAATTTGGTATGGTTGTTCAGTAGGCTGAAAGACATATTTTGATGTTAAATTTGTTTCTCTATGTCCTCTGGTTTGGAGCTGGGGTGGTAGGGTAGATTCCTTAATTTTATATATGAATGAATTGGCATAGAGAGATAACTTCTGAAAATGTTCCCATTGTAAACTGAATACTGCAATGAATGAGTCCCTTCAATGGAATTAATTAGCTTTCCTCCTGAAGAAAATCCTAGCATTATCTTTATCTGTCATATTGAGATTAATAACCACCTCTGCAAATGAAGTTTGTTTTGAAGTTCTGAAATGTGGATTTAAGTACACATGTAAATGTTTATACTTTGTTTTTGTTAAAATACCCTACACAATGAGTTCAGATTTCCAATGAATTCTAAAACAAGAAAGAAGCCGAAGGCTCAAGTGAGCTTTTCTGATCAAAATTTGTCCGTCGCTGTTGTCATCGTCGTCGTAGTCGTTGTCATTGTAAACTTTTCACATTTTCATCTTCTTCTCAAGAACCACTGGGCCAATTTCAACCAACCTTGGAACAAAGTATCCTTGGGTGAAGAGGATTCAAGTTTGTTCAAATGAAGGGCCACGCCCTTTTCCAAGGGGAGATAATCATGAATTTTTTAAAAATTAATGGCATTTTTAAAAAAAATCTTCTTCTCCAGAACCACTGGGCCAGGAAAGATGAAACTCATGTGGAAGTATCCTCAGGTACTGTGGTGTAGATTCAAGTTTCTTCAAATCATGATCCCGGGGCAAGGATGGGGCCAAAATGGCCGACCCTAGTTTTACATAGGAATATATAGGAAAAATCTTTAAAAATCTTCTTCTCAAGAACCACTAGGACAGGAAAGATGAAACTCATGTGGAAGCATCTTCGGGTAGTGTAAATTCGAGTTTGTTCAAATCATGACCCCTGGGGCAAAGGTGGGGCCAAAATGGCCGATCAAAGTTTTACATAGGAATATATAGGAAAAATCTTCTTCTCCAGAACCACTGGGCCAGGAAAGATGAAACTCATGTGGAATCATCCTTATATTATAGGTAGTGTAGATTCAAGTTTGTTCAAATCATGAGCCCCGGGCAAGGGTAGGGCCAAAATGGCCGACCCTAGTTTTACATAGGGATATATAGGAAATATCTTTAAAAATCCTTCTCAATTACCACTGGGCGAGGAAATATGAAACTCATGTGGAATCATCCTCAGGTAGTGTAGATTCAAGTTTGTTCAAATCATGACCCTGGCCCTGGGGATAGGGTGGGGCCAAAATGGCCGACCCAAGTTTTACATACAGAAAGTACTTCAAAGCCATGATTAGTGATATCCGGGGTATTTATATGGAATCATCCTCAGGTAGTGTAGATTCTAGTTTGTTCAAATGATGAACACCTGGAAGGGGGGGGAGGAGCCAGATGTGCTCAGGTGAGCGCTGTAGCCCCTGGGCCTCTTGTTTTTTTTGCTCTTAATATGTAAATTCAAGAATATCTATCATTACTGAAAAAGTTCTTATTGTAAATTTAGAAGAAAATGATGAAAGAGAAGAACAATTAATCCCTTGGGATTAATTATCTAACCTTCTGAAGGAATCCTTTATCTGTCACAGATTAATGAGAACCTTTGTCTGCAACTGTTGTTGGTTTTGAAGTTAAGGTCAAGCCTTCATAATATGTATATGCATTCATTGAAGGCTGGAATTTTATATACAACACAAAATTCATTATTGTTTATATATACATTCAATGTTGAATTGTTCTTTACTGCGTTATTGAAAAACAAGGATATTATTTACAGGGTTTTTGATATCCGGGAATTAATTTTTAGAACACAGTGGCTGTTTAAGTGCATATAGGCAACACCCATCAGCCACGTAATTCTAAATTTATAGGACCCGAGACAGTGCTGTGATTTTTCTTATTTCTCTTTCATTTTGACATCGTTTTGAATAAGTTATTGCTTATTAACATTAATGTTTTCTCAGCAGTGTGTTTCGGTGGTTTTATATCGTATTGATGTATTAAAAATCAAAATCACGGCCCCACCTTCATCAGGGATCCGGCTGTAATTTTTATCATGGCAAAATAGCATTTGTTAGCAAATCACCAATACTTTTATGCTTAGCATATGCAATCATTGGTTTTGTTTGAAAAATTTGTTTACAAGTTTCATCTTTCAAGATTAATGACCAGTATTTTAATAATTTGGATTTCCGACCTTTGATTCTTGGATCATACTTTGTAATAAGAACATTAGGTATTTCCTTCGTTTTCTTAGTTTCTTGTAACGTTATGACTCTGTTTAAAGCCAAGGAGTCATTAATAATTGGGTCAATCTCAATTTTCTTGTATTCTCTTTTTAAAAGATGTGATCTGAACTCAGCAAGTTCTTCCTGAAATTGTGTCTTGTCACTTGTATTGCGAACATGTCTTATACATTCCCCCTTCTAAAATCCTTAAATACTGATTTGGGGTGAGCGCTGTGGCGGTGCAAATATTGAAATGTATTTGTTGGTTTTATTTATGACTTCACATCAAGAATATGATAATCTTGGAATCGGGTTCCTTTGTATACACATGTGTCCAGAAATGGTAGTGATACCTCAGATAATTCATAGGTAAATTTCAGTAAGGGATGGCATTCATTTGCTGTTTTGAAAAACCACTTTATTTCGTTTTCCGAGCCATCATAAATCATCACGGAATTGCCCATGAAAACAAATTTTCTGTTTGTATTCCGAGTTGTTTACTAACATTTCAGTTATTTGATACATTCTAATGTCCGATATTTCTGGACTTCAGGGGCTTCCCATTGGACACCCGATTGTTTGTTTCTAATATTTGCCATTGAATTCAAATATTGTGTATTCTAGAATGCACTTTAGTAAAAACATCAAGTCAGCTGTTTCAGGACAAGGAATGTCTGAGTGCATGCTGCAGTCGAAATTCGATAGCGCTTCTTCTACCGCCGTAGACAGTTCATTGAAGGTCATATTTGTATACATTGATGTTACATCGTAAGTGACAAGTAAGCAGTTCTTTGGCGGTTTGATACTTTCAATTTTATTGATGAAATCTTTTGTGTCTTTGATATACGTTTTTGAGAATGATATGTCCTGATTAATCACTCAAAATTGTTTCCAAATTACATTTTGATACGAAGTTTTGAAGACCACCGCATATAAGTAAAGATTCTTTTATATTATGTGTGACATTCTGCCAGATTATATGATCAAATATTTTTTCTGTGCAGCAAGTCCACGTAATGTTTGAACAGCCCTTGTAGTCTGATTTCATTAAATCTTGACACAAGATAGCTTTAGTCTACACTTAGAAATATTGTTTAGTGCATTCATTTGGTTCTTTTTTTGTGGCATTCTTCCTTAAGTTTTGGTTAATTATATGAATTAAAACTTAAAATTTTTTTATTAACTTCAGAAGTTCTTTGAAATAACTAAAGGTTCTGTGAGCAATGACCTCACTAAATAATACCCACTGCCTCCCATAAGATTATCATGGCAGTATCCATGTTTTGCTCTGGAAAATCCAAATTATATGTTAGATCAAAAAATAAAATATCAGGTGCATAATAGCAATTTAATATGAAATAAGGATTCTGTGAAATAGTGGTAAAGCGTAACATATGGACGGACAGACATACAGCTAAACAGATGGACTGACATACTGATTACTATGTACCCTCCCACTTTTCAAGCAGAGGGTTTTTAAAAAAAGTCAATCTGATGACTGAGGTTGTAATGTATGGGTCTATTAAAAAATTAATAAAAATTCTTTTTTATATATATCTCTAATATTGCTTAATGAGGTATGTATATTCCATGAATAAGCTTATATTCTTTGCACATAACACCTTAATTGACAGACATTTTCTCTTGAATTCTAGGTAAAGATAAAGATGGTTCACCAGGAGGAAAGACAATAACAGAAGTCAAACATGAAATTCCAGAGCAAACCCTAGTACAAGCACTAGCTCAGACAATAGTATTTTCACTGGTTCAGAAACAAAGACACCCAGATTTTTTAAATCATATGGTACCTAACATTGTGATTTCTCCTGAAAAATTTGAAATAATGATGTATGATGCAGATAAGGATATTTTACTGTGCAGCAATTCAGTTTTCTTGTTCAATCTAGACGTTCGAGAAAACAGAACTCTTACAAACGAGGCTGTTATTGTTCTTTGGATGGTCCTACACTACAGAATTTTTTGTTCAGGATTTGATACAGCTAGTCAAGCTGTAATTGAAAAATGCAAGTCAAATTTTAAGAATCTTGTTCAAAGCAAATGGAACATTTATTCAGATTCACTGAAATGTTGTGTTGCTGGATTTCCGTCAGTTAAAAGTTGGTCTGTAAATGAATTACTGCAGCGTGGACATCAGTTGAGTTTAAATTAATTATAGTATATAGAATAAGAAAACCGAAATAATTCACTCTGTCATGATTGTTATTTTTTAGATCACCTGAATAGACTCAGATGACCTATTGCTTTTTGTTTTCTTCCATCATTGTGTGTTATTTGAACTCTCTGAAACCACTGAACCAATTTCAACTAAATTTGGCATATTAGCATGTATGGGTTAAGGGGAACAAAAATTGTGAATTTCATAGATCCTGCCCCCCTTCCCCCTGGGGCCTGAGGAGTGGGGCCAAAACTACTCAATTTGGTGCAATCTGTATAAAATTTCTTCTTTACTCTTGGACATTAAGCAGTCAAACTGTTGCTATGATTGTAATCAGCATTAAGTCTCCTACCAAAATTGTGAATGACATGGCCTCAGAGTTCTAGTGGGAGGGTGGGGCTATATAAATTATATAGTGAAAATGCATAAATTCTTTGAAATTCTTCTCTGTTCATGGGCATTAAATTAACGGGGATAATCAATTGTATAGTTATGTTTAATAAGCCTGCCTCTTTCAAAATTGTAAATTTCATGGCCTCTGGCTTAAACCATGAATCAAATTCAATTGTTGGAAAGTTGTTACATGATACTCAGGTGACCTGTAAGGCACATGGGCCTTATCTTTTTTACAATATCATCTTTAAATGATATTTTTTTGTGATATCACTTATAGATATCTAAAATATTTAAATTGAGAAGGAGTATACATCATTTATGTTCTTTTTCCATGTCAATCAACACATTTTCAAAACACTTTTTATATGGGAAAATAATTATAAACACTTTTTAAGAAAAATGTTATGAGTGTTATCAAAATCTTATAATAACACAAACATGGTAACTTCAATATGATTTTCTCTCAATTTTTTCATTAAAAACATGTTTTTTTTTACATGATTGCTGATGGATACTTGCTATGAAGCTCTTCAAGATAACTTTGAGGACAAAAATGTGTATTTCATATATTTAAAATGGTTGACAATTATATAAATGTAATGAGATTGATGATACAATTACAACAGGCTGTCAAGGATATCAAATTTTCAAATATCAATTTTTTTCTTATGAACTGATGGCTGAAGGAGCTCATTTAATACTTTGGTTATAATATTTAAATATTATGATGTCTTGATAGTTGTTGAATGAAGTAATATTATTTTTTGGTGATTATTTAACCTTTTTTTGTTGTTTTCACATTACAATCATTTATACCTTCCTTTATATATACTGATTTCTGAAATGTTGCATTTTTATTGTTGCAAGGAAGACAAATTTTATCAATATTTTTAGAATATATATATATATACATATATATACATATTTATAAATATACTGACAGCTCAAGTCCTTAGACTACTATATTTTTACTTAATTTCTATTTAGGTCACCTGAGTTGAAAGCAGAATTGAGATTTTCTGATTACATTCTGTCCGTAGTCCATCTGTCATTCTGCAAACTTTTCACATTTTCAACTTTTCACAATCTACTTGGCCAATTTTAACCAAACTTGCCACAAAGCATCCTCTGGTGAAGCGGATTCATGTATATACAAATGAAGGGTCATGTCCTCTTCATAGGGGCGATAATTCAGAAATAATATAAGTTTGGTAGCATCATTTTCAAAATCTTCTCAAGAATCACTGTTTCAGGAAAAATGAAATTAATGGGGAAACATTCTCAAGTAGTGTAGATTCAAGTTTGTTCAAACCATGAACTCTAGGGGTATGGCAGAGCCATACAAGATGATCAAAAAATTTACATAGGAGTATAAAGGTATAATCTTGAAAGATCTTTTTCTCAAGAACAGCAAAGCCATGATCATGAGAGGCCATATTTATATGAAAGCGTTCTCGGTTTGTTTAGATAGGAATTTGTTCAAGACATGACTCCTGTAGTTGTGTTGTCCCACAGGGGAAGATCCCTGTTTTACATGGAAATGAAATGGAAATTTTTAAAAATCTTTTCCAAAAGAACACCAAAGCAATGATTGGTCATATTTGTATGAAAGCTTTCTCAGAGAGTGTAGATTAAAGTATACTCATAATCGATAGATTTAGGGTGAAATTATACTATGTATCAAAAAAGTTAGAACATCTTTTACTTTGCCAAATCAGTTATTTTACAGTTGAATGATTGTCATTCCATTACCTGTGGATGATTTTAAGCCCTCTTAACAGAAATCAACAAAAAGCATTTTAAGTAAAACTATAGACAATATTTTGGGTGTTTATACCCCCCCCCCTTACGAAGTTTGGGGGTATATAGGAATCACCTTGTCCGTCTAGCTGTCTGTCAGTCTCTCTGTGCAAACATGTCCGGTCCATACCTTTTCTTTTGGAGGGACATTAGATCTGCAACTGTACTCAAAATTTCATAATTCGTGTCCTGTTCAGATCTTTCTTAAGATTGCCCATGACCATAGGGTGTGTCATGACCTTGACCCAAGGTCATTTGTGGAAGTTCAAGGTCAATGTAAGAAAAATTTCATAATTCCTGTCCGATCCATATCTTTCTTATGGATAAACTTAGTAGGTTCTCATTTCACACAAAGATTGCCCATAACCTAAGGGTGTGTCATGACCTTGACCCAAGGTCATTTATTTAGGGAAATTCAAGGTCACTAAAACAAAAATATCATAATTAGTGTCTGGTCCATATCTTTCTTATAGATAAACTTAGTAGGTTCTAATTTCACACAAAGATTGCCTATGATCTTAGATTGGTCACAAGTATAGTAGATTTAGATTTTTTTCTTATTATGAATTGGGGGGGGGGGGGTATAGAAGGGACTGCGGTTTAAGTTCAGAATTACAAAGGTTTAAAAAGCCACAGTTAGTCAATGAAACATGCAAGTATCCTTTGATAGTATAGACTTAAATTTGTACATTTCATAACTCCTCCCAGATACGAATAGCCACAATGTTCAGGTGAGCAATAACTCAACCAACAGTTTCAATTCATTTTCTTACATATACTGAAATGAAATTTAGTCTTCAGGTTAATGAAGAGGATATGTAGGTCAGGTTCTGTTTTGGGTATTGTCAAGCAATTTTTGACAGATAATGAGCGTAGATGTAGAAAACTTCCTACTTTTTCTCAGTTTCTCTTCATTTTTTGCTCTACTGGTCAGAGACCAGAAGAGCTTATGGGATAGTAATGCATCCGGCCGTCTGTCTGTCTGTCTGTAAACAATTTTTCAAAACGCTACTCCTCCTACAGTTTTAGTTTGATTTCAGTATAACTTGGCACACAAGTATACTACACTAAGATACATGGAATAGTGCATCAGTTTTAAATTTCGATAAACGGTATTGCCATGGATACTAAAATAGAATTTTCTGTGAAATTCCTTAAAAACGCTACTCCTTCTACAGTTTTGGTCTGATTTCAGTATAACTTGGCACACAAGTAGACTACACTAAGATACATAGAATAGTGCATCGGTTTTTGATTTCGATGAACGGTATTGCCATGGTTACTTAAAATAGAATGTTCTGTGAAATTCCTTTAAAACGCTACTCCTTCTACAGTTTTGGTCTGATTTCAATATAACTTGGCACACAAGTAGACTACACTAAGATACATAGAATAGTGCATCGGTTTTTGATTTCGATGAACGGTATTGCTATGGTTACTCAAAATAGAATTTCCTGTGAAATTCCTTAAAAACGCTACTCCTTCTACAGTTTTTGTCTGATTTCAGTATAACTTGGCACAAAAGTAGACTACACAAAGATACATAAAATAGTGCAATGGTTTTTGATAAGTACAAACCAGTAGAGCTACAGTCTTGGCAGAGACATCTGGTTTTTCAAAGGGGAGGGGGTCAAACCATCGCTTGTTTATGTCTTTTTATACATCAATTTTGTGAATATTGATACATTTTATGCCATGATCCCTATGTGTTGGTCATTTAATTCTTTAATTGTATATATATTTTATGTGTTATATGGAATGTTTTTAGTGTATGAATGACACAAAATGAGAAAATTAATGATTTTTTTTCAGTTGCATATTTATGCATTTCCTCTTCACATATAAAAAGCTTTTTTTTACTTATTGTAACAGATTTTTTTTCTTGACAATATTTATGATCTAGTTCATATGTTTTGTTAGGCTTAAAAAACTATTGGTCATCACGGAAAAAAGAATTGTTTTATCTTAGTTGAAAAATCTTTTAGGCTTAAATTTTATGGTTCATAAACCCTACAGCTAGACCTGCTGTAATCAGTATGAGATGAACTTCAGTTTTTTTGTATTTGAATTGAAGGTTAAGTGAGTTGATCAGTCATGTTTTATCGTCTCTAAGTCATTTTTCAACTTCTTCTTTAGAAGCATCTCAACATTTAAAAAGTTTATGTAGTACATGTACTAAGTAATTGATTATAGCTTGTACATAGATGCTTATTATGTACGTGTACTAGTAGTAAAATTGTGATGGCCAGTCTGTGCAGTAATGCATATTTAACACATATCTCTCTCATTAAATCATTTAGGAAAAAAGGTTAAATGACCTCTAATCAGATTTGAAGTGAAATTCAAAATAATTAAGGATCTCTAAAACAGAAGGTGAAAAACTGATTTTTTTTTTCAAAGTTAAGGCTGTAGTATCATTATTATGACCTCCAAAGGTACATGTTTAATGTAAAATCTGTATTCTTACATTGTTTGTGCAAAGCTCAAAAGCTTTGAGATATGGGGTTCAGAAATAACTTAATGAATTTAAGATAGATTTTTAGCTCACCTAACAGAATTGTAGAGCTTATGTAATACCCTCGGCGTCTGTGTTGGTGTTGGCATCCCAAGTTAAGATTAATTTTTTTTGGAGCAGTTTTCTTTTTAAATACATCTGTGTCCTATATTGATTAGACATGCATGGAAGATGCTTCTAGTGTGTTTCATTGTACCAGTCAAAGTTTCAGATCCTGCAATTTCAGCAAAGGAATGACCAGGTTATGTTTATGTTTATGCAGGTTAACATTTTTGGTGCAGTTTTTGGTGTACTTCTCATTTCCAAGGAACTGTAAGCCCTATGTTGACCAAACTTGCACGGTTGATACATCTAAGGATGCACATCATCAGGCTTGTTTTGGATGCTGAATCTGACCTGCATTTTCTGGTCGAGTGAACAGATTAAAGTTTCTGATGCAGGTCTCATTTGCAAGTAACTATAAGCCCTATGAAGACCAAACTTGCATGGGTGACATATCTAAGGATGCATACTACTGGGCTTGCTTCGGATGTTCATTTCCAAGATAATATGAGCCCTATAATGACCAAATAGCATGGATGGTACATCTTAGGATGCATACTTCCAAACTAACATCCTAAAAGTTTTTTTGTGCAGGATTCATTTCCAAGTTACAATGAGCCTTATAATGACTAAACTTGCATGGATAATTCATCTTAGGATGCATAACTACCAGACTTGCTTCGAATGCTTAATCTGACCTACATTTTTTCTGGATCACTGAAGAAATTAAATTTTTATGCAAGTTTCATTTCTATGTAACTATTAGCCCTATGGTGTGCAAACTAGCATGGATGATACATCTTAGGATGCACACTAATGGACTTTTTCCGGATGCTGAATTCAACATACATTTTTTCTAGTAAATGGACCAGGTAAAAGTTATAGGTGCAGGTCTATTACCAATACCTATAAGACTTGTATAAACCAAACTTGCCCAAATGATGCATCAAGGGATGAAAACTCAAACTTGCTTCAGATGCTGGATTTTAATCACATTTTTTGTGAAGAAGAAATAGTTTGAAGTTTTTATATACTTTTATACCAAAGTATCAGATCAATATTGCATAAATTTTGCATTTTTGAATGTACTTTTTTGTAGCATAATTGTGTGACTTTGTCTTTCTTAAAGAGAACATTTGTTGATTGATTGATTGTATACTGTTTAACGTCCCTCTCCAGAGTATTTCACTGATATGGAGACGTCCGAACATTTGTTAAAGTGAGCTCTGTAATCTCTGATTACATATGTTTATTTCTGCAATGAATGATAAACATTAAAAATAACAAGAGTCCATGCCCTGTTTACAGAAACAGTTTTTTATTTGTATATAATTTTTTAACTCTACACACATAACAGAGCACAGACTGGCAATGCTGTTGAGTTGGTTTTCCCTTCTCAAATTGCTACTCTGAATTTTATGGATTATAAAATTAATATTTTTCATTAATGGACAGCAAAATTTCTACTTTCTTACGTATTAACTTAGCGGCATACCGTCTGTGTGGTGAATTTGTGGCAAAATGGGGTTTTGTATTAAATTTTAAATTTTCTTTATTATTTAAATGAAATTATAATGGTTGGAAAACACGTAAAAAATAA